AACCCAAAGGTGTAAGACCTAAAGCGCCCCTCCATCCTCAATGCATGAGAAATAAATAGACATTGTAAGCCTTATGTCAAGGGATGCTGTAAATTTAAATGCTAGGCTCGATCTAACACCATTGCCTACTTTCCTTATGCAGTGTTGATTCATAATCTAAAATACACACATATATATATTTTAGATTATGAATATATATATATATACACGCAAACACACACATATATATATATATATATATAAAAACACAGACATACATACACATAATATACAGATGAGCCAGAATGCAAGTTGTAAACACTTTAATGGCTGAATGCTTCCTCTGTATTTCCAGTGTCTCTACCCAGTTACTTCTGCCCACTTAAGTGCTATATTACCTTACTTTACCAAAACCTTAAAACAACCAGATATAAAAAAACATTTGTACAGTTTCCATACAAAAAAAAATAAATCAAAACCCTTTACATAAGTTCAGACATATTAACAGAACCCGTCCAGACGGGCTCAAACCCGAACGCACCATACTATCCAATGACATGGCCTATGGCTGTACACAGGTGCCCATGCGTACAAACATTGCAATAGGTATACTTTAACATATATAGAAGTCAGAAGTATCAGTTCTGTTTGCAGATACCGGTGTATATATAGCCACTCAGGTTTATAAAATGAACTGGTAACCCACAGCAAATGAGTAGTTTGCCATCTGCCAATTGCCATCTGAATGGACAGTATAGGTAATGATACACATGCGCACCAGTACGTTCAATAAACATTCTATTTTTTATATATATATGTATTCTTCTTATGCAATGAATAATGTCAGAGCTGAAGATCATATGACATGTAAATGGCTTATTAAAGCTATTCTGTCAGCTACTAATATATCAGTGAATGTTCTTGTTGGGCACTTGATTACCTGGAGGGTGACTGTTTTCTGAGCTTCCTTTTAGTGTTATATAACGCTGTCCAAGGGGCAGAAGGACATCCAGGCATGATCCCAGACCCTTTATGGCAGCAGTGTTCTATAAAAGTTCAATGTCTATTGTGCCAACCTAGCACATTTATGGCATTGGAAAGCAATGGAGAAAGAAGAGGGAGGGCGAAAGTTGTGCAGGTAAAAGATCCCTGTGCCAATAATCTCAGTGGAGAGAATCAGCGATCAGGGCTGGGCTTCTAATCTGTCCAACTGCAGCTAGACTGACTGTTACAGCTCTTAGCTGCCAGCCATCATAGACGTGGGGTTGGGTGGATGTTATCACATGTATGTAGGTGGCTTAAAGGGACCTTGTCACTTACATAGTAAGTCGGGTCATTGAGTTCAACCTATAAACCAAAATTCCCCAGAAAAGTTGTACCTGCATAAAAAGATTGTAAATAATATCTGCTGTCAACTGTGATGCAAAACGCCACTCCAGTAAAGAGGAATTGGGCCCCGAAGTCGGCTAGGGAATGTCCTGTAGTGACGTAGAAGTCATCAGGAGGAACCATTAAACACTGCAGATTGATACTCCAGTTAGTGTTGGTTTTGCTTTTAGTGTTGGTCACGAAAAACGCATATTCGATACGCCTAGGTGTGAACCCGGCCTTACACTCTTCTTTTACAGGTACAGCTTATGTGGAGAAATTCAGTTTACCGACAGGTTCTCTTTATGGTCCAGGTGGGATAAGCTAAAGGGGCAGTTGAACCTGCTGTACAAGCAAGTCGGAATATTGGATGGGTACTGTTGCGTTCCATTACATGCAACATGTCACCTGTGACATCGCACAATGAATGAAAGTGCCTATAATGGAAACCCAAAAGCAAGTTGGTAGGTTACCCGGCTCTCATCCAAATCGGCCCTACTGTGTGTGTCTGTAGATCTGCAATCCGATTCATCCTAAAAGAGAAATGATGACATTAACCTGAACCTAGTTTTTGAAGTGCCTTTTGTTCCATATTTTAGAAATGTTCTTTTATAAAGATCGTATTTGTAAACATTAGCCATCATCACTATATCAGGATATATAGTTAGCACCCCTGCTTAACCCAAAGCTCCAGTTTTGCATACATTTTGTAATTTAACGTTGTTAAGGAAAAAGACCTTCCCATTTTACTTTGCAGCCAATGTAAATTTCTAAGCAGCCCCCGCCCCCCCAGATATTTAAAATGCCAATAACTGCAAGATGGCAACATTTTCTAAACCTCAACCCGGGCTGATCATTTACTGTGATGAGACCCTGATACCTTGCCCATGCCTGGCAAAGTGACTGCAACGTGGCCACTTGACCCCCTTATACTCACTTTGCCAGTGCTCCCTGAGTGCCCCTACATCGGTGTCGGTGACCCGGGGAAGCAGTGAAGTCATTTCCTCATAGCAGTGACATTTTCTGATATGCAGATAACTATTGGAAGGAGAATCCTCATATGGACTCCCAAAATGCAATGATGACATTATGGCATACAGGTATCTGAAAATGTAACATTCACCATAGTTACAGCACACACCTCCACTACACTCCAGCAATAGAGTTACAATTCTCCACTGCTAACATGAATAGGTTAAACTACGATCCATAGTACATAACATGAGGTTGTACTATGGATCATTTAAAGTCACCTGTCCCTTTAAGAAAAAGTATCGGTAATTGGTATCGGCAAGTACATGAGGGGATGTACTTGTACTTGTACTTGGGCCTGAAAAAGTGGCATCGGGACATCCCTAATGGAAACTAATCTTCAGACTTATTTAATAAGGCAGAGTACCATGCACAGAGCAGTTATCCCTAGTAGCCAATCAGAAATGATTCTTTATTGGTCTAGGTTTCATTCAATTGAGTGCGCATATCCGTATGGTGTACATACCCGTGCAGAGACCTTCTCCCTGGGGGGACGGATGCAAAGGGACGTCTCCAGGCATGGTGTCACCCGGATGCGGCCACCAGGTGACACCCCGCTGGGACGTCATCACACACGTGCGTGATGATGTCACATGCGCTCACCTGCCGGCGGACATCTTGGTGATGGACGCCAGCAAAGGGAGAAGGGGATGTTCACCCAGCGGGATAAGGTATGCCGCCGGGTCCCTTCCTCTCTCGTGCAACTGTCAGTCCTTTTGGTGCCTCCTGGTGCGGGCTGCACCCCCCTTGTGACGCCATTGTGGGTGCAGCCTGGAATTGCGTGCAGACCCCTGTACATCCCTATGACCTGTACTTGTCCCTCTTGGGACAAGGTCTCTGCACTGGTGTACATGCCGTACGAATGTGTATGCCCTTGTGATTGTGGCCTTTAGGTTAACTGAAATCTGATCGGTTGCTTTAGGCTGCAACATTCTGCACAGCATTCTTGCCCTTTGTGCTACCTTATTAAATATGTTGGAATAATTATGTTGCATATTCAGATATCACCTGTAAAGACCAGCATAACATACCCATGAAGCTCTCGCCGACCTACAGTTATAGGTGGAGGGTTCCTTTAAAGTGTACGTATCGGGGGTTTTAAACTAATACACCGAGGTGAGGATCAATTCCCCACAGTCACTCAAAGTCTAATTCTGACATTACCCACCTCTCATATACACATTTACTTATATCACCCACTTTCCCATCACATACGCTTTCAATAAGCGTTTCTTTTGCTGCACAAAAAGAAAAAAAGAGCAAAATCTCTGTTATATAAATAACCCCCTGTACATCTACCTCCAAATGACACATAACATGTATATATA